ATATAATAAAAGGATAATTATAAGAATTATACTTAAGAGCAAATATACTTCTGTGAGAAAACGAATATAAAAAAGATGATTAAAATAATTTTTGGAATTTATATATATTTATATGATATTTTTTAAAATAGATCTTTATCTTTTTATATTTTATAATTATTATAAATATAAAAAGATATTATTGATTAACTTTTTGAAAAGTGGGTAATTAAATTAATATAATCTTTTTTCTAGTATTGTTATATATCTGAATAATGAGACAAGACTTTTTATAAACTTTATTAATATTAATATACTTGATTTTGTTAATAAAGCGATTATTAAAGATTTATATATTTAATAATAGATTTGAAATATGAATTTGCTTAAACATATCTTTCTTCTAAAGATCAAAGAATTCCTTTTAATATAAATTAATAAAACTCAGATTTGAAGAAATATATTGAAGAAAAATATTATTTAAATGGATTATTGTCTATAGAGGAATATAAAATCTTGGGATTTCTATATAATAATATTCTTCAGACTAAAGAAACTAATAGAATAGCAAATAGCAAAAGGGATTAGATAATATTATCTCTAGGAATATTTATAATTGGTTTTTTAGGTTAGATAATACAGCCTCCGTATAATACAATTTAATAACTATACTATAGAAATCTGTAATACCACTTAGCAAAAGAATCTTATATATCTTATTGTCGGTATAGTCATCTACTGTACCGGAGTACTGGCGCCGTACTAGCGAAGGGCTAGGGCAAGCCTTAGCGAAAGGGCTTCAATACACATATAGTCTCCATCATGTAGAATAGTAATCGACAAGCTTTTTATTGATATCAACACTGAACACCCGTCGGACTTTCTACCATCGTAGATCTGAAAGGTGTTCCCGTTGATACCAACACTTATTTTCCATATTAACAAAGAAGAAGAAATCTTTCTATAAACCTTTTTTTGATATACTGACTTTACGTCATATTAGTACATCCAAATTGAATAAAAGATCATAAAGATAAATAGTGGATAATCTATTTCGAAAATTTAG